TTCGTGCCATTGTCGGACTAAATTTTCGGAGTGCCTCGTCTTGCCATAAAATTACGTAGGCGCATGATGCAAGAACTAGAGTCCAGGCTGTAGGCTATCTCAAAATGTACTGCACTGAGAGTCAAGCACGTGAAAAGCACGACCCATCTCTTCTAAATAGTCTACGCCGGTATAAGTGAACGGCTTGGCGAAGCTGGCCAGTCTTGCAGCAGGTATCGGTGCCATCTGTTGAGGTGTAGGTACCACTGAGTGAAGTTTGCACTTCCGACAGGAGTGTCGAACTACTTTGTACAATACCCCAATACGTGGTATGTAGTAGGAACTTCTCACGTTGTTGATGACGGTCTCGTGAGCCATATAGTAAAAGTTTTCATGATGGGCCCTAATGATGAGAAACGTCGTATGGTTCGCTCGCGGAATTTCAATGGCGTCCATGTGGCAGTCGATAGAACTGGCTCCTCCTTGGATGCGCAAAATTCCATGATCATCTAGGTAAGCATTTAGCCCAGACAATCTGCTTTGTTTACCCAGCGATTGCCCAGCGTGTAGCGAACTGACCTCGGATAAATATGTTTCAAACTGCGCCTGCTTGATGAGAATATTCTCTGCTGTGCGGATCATCTCGGGTGTATTCTTGTTGGTCTTGCTGTAGCCGTGTAATCTAGCCTTTAGCTTAGATAGGTATAAAACAAATGTCGTGACCGCCAATCGGAGAAGTATTCCACGCTGAGGGTGATGGCTGGAGTTTTCCTCATCACATATATATGTTTGCGCAACTCGGTCGTATCAACGTCATCAGCATTGCACTCGAATTCGGGCCAGTTGAAGCTTGTCATAAACAGGAAATCGGGACCGTGCAGCCGCTCATTGGTTTTCCACCCTGGTTGCTGCGTCCGCCACGATTAATTTCGTCGGAACCCATCGCCATTGTTTGCTGCATGAGTTCTCAAGGATCTCTCCGACACGATGCATGACGAATTGCTGAAAATTGCGTGGATCCATCTTCAACTACTGCAAAACGGTTCTCGAATCTGACCAATATGTCACGTTTTGTATTTTTAGTATAGGAACGTTTATAATTCTCTGAGCAAAACGCACGTCCATCACAGCAGCTTGCAACTCCATGCGCGGAATCGAAACCGGTTTAAGTGAAGCGACTTTGCTTTTCGCGGCCACTAGCGACAAATCGACGACATCTCCTCGAAGGACCCTCAGGTAACAGACTGCAGCGTAAGCATATTCGCTTGCGTCAAAAAACATGTGCAATTCTACTTGCGTGCCAGAAACCAAATGTTTAGAGTAGAACCTCGGAATTTCGATTGCTTCAACCAGTGTCAGCGTACGCTTCCATAGTTGCCAACCGTCGACGAGCTCCTCTGGCAGCACCTCATCCCAGCCAATATTGACTCGCCATGCACGTTGTAGAAGGATTTTTAAGCCAATCTTGTAACACGAGACTAGTCCCAATGGGTCGAAAATCGACATGAGAACCTGGAGAACTTCTCTCTTTGTTTGGACGACGTCCTCCGCTAAGACGTCTCGCCGCTGTCGAGCAATCCTAACAATATACTTAAAGACATCATTATATGGCTCCCAATACATACCCAGCACCTTTTCGGCCTCTCCGAACTGGACTGGACTTTGCACTGCTGGGTCAATGTTTGATAGCTCTCTGGGAACATTAGGAGAATTCGACGCCCAATTTCGGATCTTAAATCCACCGGCTCGATGAACATTTCGAACTTCATCTGCTACTGCGAATGCTGCTTCTTCATTTTCGGCGCTGTCGATGTAATCGTCCACATAGTGCGCATTTTGAATGGCCTCATATGCCCTGGATACTTCTGACGATTTTGTTCACCATTTTTATTCCGGACGTAGTGCGCAATGCATGGACCGCGGCTTGTTCCGAAAGTCATCACACACATTACATATGCCTTCGTTTGCCCATTGATTTGATCATACCATAAGAAGCGTTGCGCATGCATATCTTCTTTGCGAATGTTGATTCTGTGGAACATCTCGGCGATGTCCGCACAGATTGCCACCTCCCCAACTCTGAACCTCAGTAGGATCTCGACGAAATGTTGTAGTAAGTGTGGTCCGGTAAGTAAATGATCGTTAAACGTTGTACCGTGAGACTTCGCTGCCGCATCCCACACAAGTCTTACGCCTTACCTTGTTCGGCTTGTTGGGATTTTTTGCTATAAAGATTGGAAGATACCTTGATAGATATGCTTGTTGTTGATTGCCATATCGGTCTCCGAGAGTTCAACTGCATAATTCTTTTGTATTAAATTGCGGATTTGGTTATCAATTTTGTCGTACAATGCGGGTTCACGTTTAATCTTATTTTTTAAACAGTTGAGACGCCTAACCGCATTGTTGTAGTTTCCAGGTAGACTGTAGTCATCGTCACGCCATAAGAGTACGACTTCGAATCCATCCATCCATCGTCCATCTACTTTAATCCACGTTCGATCGAGAATCTCAATAGCCCGTTTGTCATCGTTTGATCGTAAGTTTTGTGGTTTCACTGACTCCAATCTGAAGCTCTCTTTAACGATGTCGTGTAACTTTTGCTATTGGCATTCGCAGTGATGCATCGTCACTTGGATGCTCCATTCCAGCAAACACTTGGAAGCGATCGGCTCATGCCGCTTGCCTTCGCGTATTCTGCGGGGAACTGCAAATTTTCCACTTGTCTGCTCCTATGAGCAACGTTGGTTGGATGCCATTATACAAAGGCAAAGGTACATCCGTTAAATAGGGATAGCTGCTGCGTAACTCGTCCAAAAACGCAAAAATTTCAATTGTATTACCTGCTGCATGAAGCTTCACTGGTATCATGCGTAAGCACTGACTGCTGGTGTTATCAGCCGATGCGTGCTTACCACGTCCTGATCGTTTTCTGCCTTCTTTGTACCTTAGTTACCCTCGCTATGTAGAAGTGGGTGGTGCTTTTTAGAACAGCCGTTTACGCCGCAAATCTTCTTTGAGAAACAGCCCTTGCGGTGAGTCTTCATACACCGATAACAAGCTTTCTCCTTTTTTATCATCTGCCACCTCTCGTTTGCCGACAAGTCCTTGAAGGTTGAACACAGCTCGACGTAGTGATCAGTCGTACCACACGCGACGCATTTCATCGTATACTGCTTTGACTGGAGCAGAGAGAGGTTCTCTGCGTGCGAGCAGTTCTGGCCACGTTGCATGTCGTTTCTTGCCTGTACACTATTGCTGCTGCTGTGGGTGTTCACGGAGTTTGTTTTGTAGATGACAGCAGGTGATACTACCGTCGATGCTGTTTCGGCTATACGATATAGCCATTCGCTGAATTACTGCTCAAAAAATATCTTTAGCGCGTTGAGAATATCGGGAACCATCGTTGGAAGGAGCAACTTGTCCTTGACCAATTCACGTTCCTTACCTTTAAGACACCGCTGTAAACGCAACCTATTTTCCACATTCGAAAACCCTGCTATGGATGTACAGTGCTCAAACGTACTGATGAACATCGGCCACTCTTCCGGATCGCCGATAAAGATTGGCAACTCTTTCGGTATGGCTTGCCTGGCTGCTACTTGCGAAGGTGAAAGCGCAGATCTGGCTGTAAACTGGGTAGTTGCTGTGCGACTGGTTCAGATTGTGTCGCTTCTGATGATGAATCAGCCGATGCATCTGTCTGCTGCATTGTGCTTTTATGCCCTGGTCCTCTGATGTTCGTTTCCTTAACACAGGAAGCACAACTCCAATCACGACGCTGCACACTTTCGTCTACACCAGCGCATACGAAGTGAAACCAATGTTCACATACATCGCACTGCACCCAGTCTTCCACAACCGATTTATCTGCCTTCTTTCCACAGACCTTACAAATTCACATGTCTGCTGCAGCGCTATAGTGTGGAGCTCGAAAAACTGAGGTGCAATTGCTATTTTCAGAACGGATGCTGCTTATTTCGCTTAATGTATTCTAGCGAACGTCTTCGTCACTGTCGCCTTTTTATACAAGAGCCTTTGGCACGTGTACGTGCAGAACAATAAACGCGACTCCAAGTAATAATCCAAGTGCCAACAAGTGTTCAAAAAGTTTTTAAAGATTTATTATCTGCAAAGAAGATAAACGATTTTGTTTCAATAGCAGCTATAACGTTTGTTTAACAAATTTAGTTATGAAAGTTAATTATAAAATATTACAGCGTGGCGCTTTAAAAACTCTTGTCTTTTCTCGTCCTCTTACTTTGCTCCGAATAGTAGTACGAAAGCAAACTTCAGTGCATACGAAAGGTCGCATTTATGATTGAAGCATTAGGGCTGGTTTCGGCGGCAACATACAGAATAAGCCTGTAAAAGTCCCATTTGCATAGTTTTTAAAAACAAGGATCAAAATCAAATTTTTTATCTAATTCCAACTTATCCTTTGCATTACGAGTGATTTTATTTTTCATTGAAAAATATGTACCTACATCAGTGATGCACACGGGAGTCTCCGGGAGCTACTCGGCTTTCACACACAAGTCGTGTGTGCGCAGCTACCGAACTTATGCGCCGCTAGCAGCCGGTCAGTTTGCGTTTGTACTTCATGCTGTAAGCATCACATGCGCGAGCTGTTTTGCAGAGTACACACATACAGATACAAAAATAGTTTGCTTGTATTGGGAGCTCTGCCAACGCTGTGCACCACTGACCTGCATACCTACATATATGTACTATCTCCTAGCTAATAGCCAACCCAGTTCACTAATCCTAACACCGGCACGCAAAAAAAAACTTGGTGTGTTCTTTTCCTAAATTCCGAGTAATTTTTTTTATATGTTTCCCAGTTAAAATTTGATTTTTTTTCCATAAAAATAAAAATATCTTGCAAACATTACCTGTTCTAGAAAGACTGAGTACAGATTCGTAATCTACTCAAAGTTAAGCTTATGTGTTTCGGCGTTTTTGTGTCATTTCAAACTTTGAGATTTTCCCTATAGTGTTATATGCATCTTTATTTGCAGGTAGTGCTACCCGAACTGGCCAACATACGCGTTGCGGCTTATGAAGAGGGAGGGAAGTTTCTAGGACATCGTGTTCTTCCCGTCATTGGGTTGTGCCCTGGGTATCGTCATGTGAATCTACGGACCGAATTGGGTCAACCAATAACACTAGCATCCCTCTTTCTGTACATCGTGGTTAAGGACTATGTGCCAGACGATCTATCGAATTTTGCAGAGGCATTAGCTAATCCAATTAAATACCAAAGTGAACTTGAAAAACGTGACAAACAATTGGCTGTGCTCACCGAGGGCACGGAACCGATTTCATCAGAGGATATCAACTCATGTAAGTTTTAAATGTTTGAACCAGGGTATGTAGGTGCACATATGAGCATGAAATCAAAAGCATTGGCTTAGCTCACGTTGTAATTCATCATTGTGAGAAACTTATACCCACTTATATTTTTTGTACTGATTTTAAGTAGAATACATTGAATTTATTTATTCTTTATTTAGTTACCTGAACTAGATTATGCTTTGTTTCTTTTTTTACTTATTTCAATAAACTTCCGTCTTCTGTTGGTTACTGGACACTTCAACATTTCCAATCTCTATCAATAACTAATTATCGAAACTCTAACCTCACGCCACATAACAACACTACTTGCATACCAAAAAACCTCCGCTTGCATGCTACCCCGTTACATTTTCGCCTGCGTCCATTGAACTTGACAAACAAAGTCGTTTTTGTACAAGTAGGTGGTCAGAAAAAAGAGCTTCGTCCATTTGAGTCCACAACAATGAGCCCCAAGCACCGACCCAGCATCATAGCCGCTACCGTAACCAATGTAGAAGTATCTTCAGGAGTTGAGCAAGACACCGCAGATGCGATCACAACAGCTGGACCAGGGTTCACACACCAACATTCGCTCGAGTCGACTGCGCAAACATCTATGCGGCAAGTGGAATCGTCACAGTTCGATTTAGATTTAGTGCATGCAGAGCCATTGGATAAGATATTAGACCACAAGATGGTGCGTGAGAAGCGGTTTGAAATGGAAAAGAAATTGGAATCGCTCCGTAAAAAACATGATAAGGAGAAGATCAAAATCGCAATGCAAAAGTCTAGTCCAATAGATGGAAACAAGAAGGCAATGTTTAACATTGCCACCAAGCTAAAGAAACGGCTCAGCAATAGAAGTCTGTAAGTGTGTATACATTCGCGCCTTGAGCATTCAATGGCTTTCACATTAAAAGTAGTAACTGTATTTCTTTTAGTGATACGGGCGCGGAGGTGCCGCCTTGTTTGCCGGATATTGGGAATATAAATGAAGTCTGTACTGACGGGGCCACTTGTATTGAAGGAGAAAGTCCATCGCTGGGAACACGCTCCCAACAGGAGAGAATGCTTTCCTCTTGCAGGGAGTATTCTTCGCAGATGCGTGATATTCAGGAGAAGTACCATGAGGTAATCTATGCGTTAGCGGAAAAGGTGTTGCGAAATTCACAAGCAAACCAAATTAAGCAACTTAAAGCGTCCTTGGATCGAGTAACTTCTGAAGTAATGCATCAATTGCAGGAGGCACGACGAACGGAGGTAAAGAATTTGTCTTCCGTACATCGGGATCGCGATGAGTTGGTTAGGTAATAAAGCATAAAGTGGCTCAGTGTTATAAACCAAATTATGTAATTCTACTCTGGCAGAATGAAACGTGAAGTGGCCAGCTCAGTGGTAGAACGCGGTGTGGCAGAACGAGTACGTTTGAAGCAGACCTACGACAAACGAACCGATGACCTGCAAAAACAACATGAATTGGTGCGCAACGCACTAGCGGAGCACCGTAATAAGGTATCATTTGCTTAAGTCTATCTATTACTTCTATATATTGCTGGCTGACGTGGCCACGTGTGGTCCTATCACAAATGAGTCTGACTGTGTCCTTTAATAACTTTATAGGTTTGGTTATTATCTTGGAGAATTTCAGCCTTGAGAAAACACTTTGGCTCACGAAATTTTTTTGACAAGTATGAAATAGCGCTGATCCCACGTGTCCCTATATTTCGCTGTCTGACAATTCCATCCCTGTTTTTTATTATACCTGTCGCATACAAATTTTCAGCTTTGATTAAACCATTTAGAGTGCCCGGTTTTTTCTTATTCGAGAAGCAAAGTCTCCTTAAAAATCGGAAAACTCATAGGAAGTACTCGTATATTTTAAAAGTGACACTGCAAAGTTATGAAATAGTCACCACATTTCCTCATCAGACAGATTTCCGAAATAGCTATCACTTCTACCATTTTTTTCAAATTATTGTTGCTTTTCCACAATAAGTTTTTCATTAAAAACGGCCTCGAGCTCAATAAAAATTGTTGAATATAATTGTTATAAGGCCATAAAATAACAAAAACGAATAACTTAAGGACGAGCACACCTAAAAGTTAAACATTCTAAAATAGAATTATTAACAAACACCAACAAAACCAACAACCACATGATCAAGTGTAAACCATAGCGGAATAGCTGCGCTTGATTGTTTTGGCTTAGCAAATGAAAAGGTGGGAAAAAAGCAACGATAATTTACAAGGCTAACTTAGCACAGTGCGTTGGCAACTGGATGAGTCAGTGGGATCGTCGGTTCGAATCCTACTAAAAGAAGTCTGATTGTTGTTGTTGTTGTTGTTGTTGTTGTAGCAGCATACAAATTCCCCAAAGAATTATTGGGGAGTGTTGCTGGAGGGACAGTCCTTGGCCAGATATCAATCTTGGTCGTTCCGGTTACGTAGACCCGACTGTAGTGGGAACGATGATGAGGAAATGTGGTGATTTCCGAAATAGCTATCACTTCTACCATTTTTTCAAATTATTGTTGCTTTTCCACAATAAGTATTTCATTAAAAACGGCCTCGAGCTCTACAAAAATTGTTTAATATAAACAAAAATAAACATTAAACAAACAAAAGAAAAATAGCCGAAACTGGTCACAATGTCGTGTCCTTATTATTTTTCACATGACTGTATGTAGGCGTGTCCAACCCCGCCCACTTTTACATATTACAGGTTTTACTCTTAACAGACCTTAGGTAAAAATTTTATCCCGATATGTTCGCCGACTCTTAGTCTTTTTGAAGACTCAACAAAATCTATTTTCGGACGCTACGATTTGAATTGGCGGAAACTGTTGGTTGACATGTTAATGAAATGATTTCTTTCTTTTCGTGCCAATTATAATGATTTTTCAAAACTGCTGATTTTTTGCGTTTGGATCTTTGCCAAGACAATGCAAATTTTTTACAAACGTAATTAATACATTTTTACAGCTCATACCGATCTGGCTCAAACCCCTCATATTCAATATCTTTCGCTATTGCACCCAGCAAATTTGGAACTTTTTGGGAATGCTTACTAGAATTTTCACGGCAAATCTAAAACATATGCAATCGAGAAAATGTGCCCAGAAACATTTTGAATTAGAAAATTAGATAAATCAAAAAATAAACATGAAAAGAAACTGTAGAAAATTAGTATGTTATGGAATACTACGCGAGCCACTGCAGGTCGATGCATCTACACTGAACACTTTTATAATCTTAAAATATTAACAAAGAATATATAAATAAAAATATTGAGGGCCGATAGGGTAACACATACTTAAAATATTACCTAAATACTTGAAAGACGAACCACTAAACACACAAAATCTTACTTTTCTAAAACAACGATTTGCATAAAACACAACACGAATTATCTAAAAGTTTAATTGTAGAAAAAAAGTCAATGGCGCATATTCATAGTCATATTTACTTCACAACTAAGTCGAAACTATCCCAAGTTACAACTAAAGCTATTCATTGTCGCCTTAGTTTCGACTTTTCTGGCTAAGTACCAACTTAAAATTTAGTTTGGGCTGCAGCTGCAATTAAGTCGTAACTAGGAAGAAGTATTTTATTAAATTAAGGAAAAAAAAGACGAACTATGTAAAAATTAAGTTGGCAGAGCGTGATTTTGATAATATTGAATGATCTCCAATTGAAATTTACAAAGAGCGATCCATTTGAATCGGAAGATGAAACTAAATGCGTATTACAATTCGAATAAGGCTACATCACAATTTTATGATTGGAATGATTTACATATATAAATGCTCAAATAATAAGTCAATTTCAAGCTTGTTCTTTTAAAGCGTATTAGTACGTAAATTTAGATATTTGTTTGTATGTTTCACAGCATGCTTTCGATAAACATCGACTGCACATCATTGCGGTAGTTGTGGCTATTTCACACAATTAACAAGAAACTTATACCTTATTCTTTTCCATAAACATGCAATGAAAGTAAAAATTCATAAACGGATGATCTTACTTGACATTATTTAATAAAAATGTAATTTTTCCAAAATATCGTAAAGAAAAAGCGATACATTTTCACACTCGTTTTGCAATATCGTAAAACTAAGTTAAAACTACTTAGTGGAAGTCAGAAATGCGACTATGAATAGAAGTGAATTTTAAGTTGGTACTTAAATTTAAGTTGCGACTTTATTAGTTTCGACTTAGTTGCTGGACTATGAATACGCGCCAATACCTTTATGTACAATATCCATTGCATACAATTTTAATTCACCCGGCTTTTCACAATATTTTAATTAAGTTAAATCCAATTAAATTTTCAGCGTGCGGACGCTGTACAAATAAAATGAGCAGTTGATGGCACTTTTGTTGCTTTTTTCAGCATAACCGTTAGAATGAAAACAAAAAATATATGACAACATGAAGTTTGGACAAAAAACTGATTGCAAAACCTATTTTGGTTAAAAAAAATTTGCATACATTTTTTTAATATGGGCCTATGGCAGCAACCACTGTGCGTTGTCTGGCTGTCAAAAAGTTCTCATGCCCATACAATTTGTATTAAGCATACCGAAACAACGGGGCGTCAACGCTGAGCGGTTGGAAAACCGGATTTTGACAGGGCGTTAGGTATGGAAGTTAGCTGCAGAAAACGGCGAAACTGTCATTTTCGTGTTACACACAAACAAATCTATGCTTATCGTTGGTGTTATTTCTGCATTTGACGTAGCGTTGACGCTTTTGTTAGGCGCTAACGCTAGGCGTCAGAAACCTTTCCGCCCAACGCTTCTTTTTGGGTATGGCAGTAAGACTGGCTTGCTGTAGGTTTAGGTCCTTATATCAAAAAACATTCATCTTGCACAAGAAAGAAAAAAAGATATCCAACCTCATGTACAATAAGCGGCTAAAGCTAATGGCGTACTCAGTTTTTTAATACAACTAACCAGAAAGTTACCCACGCGGCCTAAAGTGACTACATTGTACTATTTTTAACGAATTTTCAAATTTATTCGTTAGGATTTTCTGGATAGTTGTAATTTTTCCGAAATTAAAATACTTAAAATTGTAGTTAATTTAATGTAGTTTTTAAGGAAGCGAACAGATTTTGAATTGAATTATATTTCAACTAGTAAATTAAATTTAAGTGAAGCCATGTTAAAAACCACTTTCTAACTTGACAAACATCATCACAAAATTTAAAAGCCAAAGCAGGCGTGGATGAAACTGCCCTACCGTGGAATACTTACTCTATATTTACGGCCGATAATTACAGTACTTTATTACACTAGCCAATACCCGCTTGCTTTGCGGCGCCTTGAAACACCTTTCGAACTGTAAAACAATCATTCAGTCGGTTGACAAGCACGGCAGGACGTGCAATTTCAAGAAAATCGGCACATATATACGATTTTTTCGAAAAGGTCAGTGCAGCCAGTAGCCATCTAGGGCCAAATATTCCAATCCGTTCAGCCATTTTGAGTGATTGAGTAACAAACATACAGACTTTCACATTTATAATATTAGTAATAGGTATAGATAGAATAGACGCCACGCCCATTTTTCCAATAACCTTCATTTTTTTATATGAGCATAGAACTCATTTCATATACTACACCCGTACCGAATTTCAGTACTCCACCGCAAATACTTTCAGATATATGCCGTGTCAAAAATGCAGCATGTATAGGTGGTGCCACGCCCACTTTTCCAATAAGATATTTTTCTGTGGTAAAATGGAGCCTATAATTTAAGTTAGAGCTCTAGCAATACATGGGGGAAACTGCTTTAATTCCATTAATTAGTAGTTACTTCCTAACTGGTAAGTTTCATTACTTTAATACATATAGAGAAAAGTGCAATTAATTTTAACATTTGTTCGCGTCGCCACTAAGTTGAAGACAGTAGTGAAACATGACGTGACCAATTTCTACCCTGAATACGTTAAAAATACTGATTTGACAAACGAACGGAACATAGAGAATCTAAATTTAAATCAACATTTCCCCTACCCTTCGGCATTGCTGCTAGAGGTTAGCAAATTCGGAAATTATTTATTTCTTTCAAATAGTAACTGCGCGCATGAACTTCCTAGCATATAAAAACGATATTGCTAAAAACTTCAATAAATTTTAAAGTATGTCCGACCTGATTGTACTCAACATGGCTTTACTTAAACGTAATTCACTATTTAGTTCAAATATAAATCAATTCAAAATCTGTTAGCTGTTTTAAAAAACTACATTAAATTAGCTACAATCTTAGGATTTTAACTTTAGAAAAATTACTACTATCTGGAAAATCCTAACAAATAAAGTTGAAAATTCGTGAAAAATAATACAATATAGTCACTTTAGGAACGCGTGGGTAACTTTGGCTTTAGTGGCTTATTCTTCATAAGGTTGGATATCTTTTTTTCTTTCTGGTGCAAGATGAACGTTTTTTGATATAAGGATCTAAACCTATAGCACATCAGTCTTATAAATTGCGGATTTCGGAGTAGC